GCCTAGAGATTTTGCCTCTCTGATGTTCACTGAATTTGTGATTTCATCTTTCTTTTTCTCTGTCCCTTCCTCCCTCCTTCCCTCCCCCTCTCTCTGTCTCTCTGTTTATTGTACTTGTTCCAGCTATCCATAAATACTGATTTGGATTGTCTTAGCATGTCTCAGGGGACACTCTGACTCAGAAACTAGGACTGCAGATTCCTTGTAGCTCCTAGGGTAGGAATAGTTTTCTTCCACTTTACCTTTTCCCTGAGAGTGTAGGCCAGGTACATAGGAGGCTGTACTAGAAATGGGACTATTTTCTCTCCTTTTGAAACCTGTATCCCAGCTGTACTTTTGCCTGTGACTGCTTGGTACTGTGGTGCCCTGGAAATGGGAATTTAATATAAGGCCCTCTCAGGACAGCGTGATTTTGTTGGTGCTTGTCTTTTTTCCCTCCTACTCTGTACTGGGGATGTTAACTCCTGGCTTTGGCCCTGAGCTACATTCCTAGTCCTTCTTGTTTATAACTTTTGAGACATTTTTTGTTTAGTCACTAAGTTGCCCATGGTGGGCCTAAACTTGGGATCCCTTTGCCTCTGCCTCCCAGAGTTCTGGGATTATGGACATGTACTTTTTTTTTTCCTAAATATTTATTTTTATTTATTACATTTATTTATTGTGTGTGTGTGTGTGTGTGTGTGCCCACCAGGGGGCTGGCTGGCTGGCATGTGGTGCTGGAGGATTGAACCGCGGTCCCTGTGCTTTGCAAAGCTTGTTTCAAGTAGGTGCTTTAGACCACTGAGCCATCTCTCCAGCCCCCTATGGACATGTACTTCACTGTCTTGTATTCCTAAAGTTCCTTCAGAGTTTGTCCTATTTGATATTTTATCAAATTTTTGTTGCTTTTAATGGCCTTTAAAAATGTTTTTTCAGCTAGGCATGGTGACACACACCTATAATCCCAGCACTCAGGAGGCTGAGGCAGGAGGATCATTGTGAGTTTGAGACCAGCCTGAGCTACAAAGTAAGCTCAAGGCCAGCCTGAACTGCATGTAGAGACCTGGTCTCCAAAATAAAAAAAGTTTTTCCTACGCTTACAGTTACTTTCAAAGGAAGGTTGATTCAAACTTCCTAGCTTATCATTTTTCCAAGCTTGATTTGAAATCTGTTAAACCTTGGCATATTGTTATTGAATAAATAAGTACAGCGTACAGATACATGGCAGAATGGTTATAATTTTAGTATCTTGGTTTTAGAGATTCATTCGCCCATGTACTTGAGCATGCTTTGGTTAATGGGTGTCCTGGTGAATGTAAGCTTTCATGTTTGGTGGGTAGGAAGTCTTGAGGAAGACTTTATCCTGGACTCAGAGACTGAACGTGTTTGTTTGGATCATTTAGTTACTTTTATTTTCTACAATGAAAACGTTAAATAAGTCTTCCTGATAGAAGGATACAGGGGCCGGGGAGATAGCTCAGTAGAATAAAGTGCTTGCCTGGCAAGTGCAGGGTCCTGATTCAGTCCCTGTTACCGGAAGAAGAAAAGAAAGGCTACATACAGATGATAAAATTTAAAATTGAGCCAGTTGCGGTGGCTCATGATCATCTCAGCACTGTGGAGACTAAGCAGGAGGATTCCAAACTCAAGCCTACACTGGGTGACGTACTGATTGAGCAGAAGCTGTCTCAAAATAAAGAAGGGCTGGGAATGTGGCTGAGGGTGGAGGCCCAGGGTTAGCCCTCTGCACCCCGCACGGGAAGTTAAGGGGTTCATTGTTAAAGATGTAGTGGGACAACTATTTTTAGACCAGCTTTCCTGGATATATATGTGCATGTTTATGTAATAGTTTTCTTATTTCTTTTGTATTAATTTATGTAACCGGTATCCTATAAGCATTTGTGTTCTATGAATAGTGCTATAGTGAATGTCTTTATGCTTGTTTGCTTTGTACATTGTCTCTTTTAGATAAGTTCCTAAATTGTAGCTATCACCTCAATTGCTAAAGTGACTCAGTTTGAAAGACCCAGTTTCTGTATACCCTAATACTGAACTGTATCATTCATAATAATTGACAGCGAAAAAATACCTTTTAACTCATGTTTCTTCCCTAGTGAGTTTAAACATCTTTTTGTGTCAAACAAATTTTTCAATTTCATCTTTAATACTTGTTCCAGTCCTGTGCCTGTTTCTGTGCTAGAATTACTGACAGATGGGAACACATTATTGCTAACCCTTTGTCATTTATATTGTAAATGACATTTTTGCCTGTTTGTAATCTTGTCTTGTAACTTTATGTTCACTTCTACCGGTGAGAATTTGAAGTAGTCAAATTTATGAGTATATTTTCTTGATGACTCTAGGTTTTGTGCTATTCATAGATGTGCCTGTCTGGTTTATATTTTTAATGTGGTATTTAAGAAGTCCTTCACCACTAGAAGGTTGAAAAAGAATTTATGTTTATGTATGATTTTTATATAGCTCTACATAGTAGGACTTCTGCTTTTCCCTTTTTAAAAAAATATCCTTACGAATATTTGAAAATTCCTGTTGACATTAATGGGGTTTAATCATGAATCACTTATTCATGCTGTATGAATCTGCGTTTAAATTGTCTGTTTGGTGCCACTAGTCAAAATGTCCGCTCTGATACTCATACTGTTTTAGTTAGTGTAACTTTGTAGTATGTCTTAATTTAGTTTAAATTTGTTAAAGTAGTTAATATCTAGTTAAAGGGCCGGGGAGATGGCTCAGTGGAATAAGTACTTCCCTGGCAAGCGCAAGGGCCTGAGTTCAATCCCCGGTTCTGCAGG